CCGACTACGTGGGGCGCATGGGGGTCAGCAATGACACCCACGTGGTGGTGTATGACGGGGACGAGCTGGGCACCTTCTACGCCCCCCGCGCCTGGTGGATGTTCCGGGCCTTCGGGCACAAGGAGGTCTCCGTGCTGAACGGCGGCTTCAACAACTGGGTGAAGGAGGGCCACCCCGTCACAGCAGAGGTCAGCCAGCCCGCCCCGGCTGTCTTTAAGGCCAAGCTGAACACGACCCTGCTGAAGACCTTCGAGGAGATGATGCAGAATGTGGGGTCCCTGCGGTTCCAGGTGGTGGATTCCCGCCCCGAGGGCCGGTTCCGGGGGACCGAACTGGACCAAGGTAATGGAGGTAGGAACGACACCTGCCCCCTGCGCCAGAGCGGGATGAGTGTCGATACTAGTCCAGGTGTAACAATTCCTTCCAGCCAGCAAACAGATTTTCCTAATGCACTGGCATGCCTCAGCCTAACTCGCTGATTTACCTTAAGGGATCCGCAATTGAGCATTCGAATCCCAGTGCCCTCACAGAATGCTTTTCTTGTAGTTGGTTGTAAAGCTGCAGGAGGAAATAGCAGAAAAGGTCTCCAGTCAGTTGGCTCCAGGATCTCCCATCCCACACCCTGCAGAAGTTAATCAGACAGAATGCAAACACAGGAGGTGTGAGCTCTCCAGAGTTTGTTCAGGGTCCTATCTAACACTAGCAGACACACAGAAACTATCAGCATTCATACAGGTACCTCTCACCATAATGAATGCACCAGCAAAAGCCCAGGTTTTAGGCAATACAGTAACCCAAGGGACATTTTTGTTCTTGCTCTGGTTCCCAGCAAATAAGAGAACTTGCTTGAGCTGATCTTTGTCCTTTTGCTCTCTGCCATTAAATCTAACAAGCTTAAGTAAGAAAAGCCCCAAACCCTTCCCGAAGGTATGGGCTGTCAACCTCTCTCTTTTGAATGCCCCAAGTAACAGGACCAAAAATTGATTTTGTTACCTCAGTCAAACACTGGACACGTAAGCAGCAGGGGTGAGAGAAGTCCTGTGCAGTGGGGACAGCTGGTACAGCAATGTGCCTGGAATGAAATTCAAGTTGGTTGTTAAAGGAGGCCCTTACTGTGTAATTTAAGCCTTGGTATATCCCAGAATAACCTCTCCTCCAAAAGGGAATCACAGAAATGGTTTAAAAAGAAATGCAGGATTTCAAAAACAATGCACAGAAAAGCTCAGCAACAGTTGTTGGGTCTGAGTCGAAATCCACGCTGCAGGAGTGGGTGTGCGGTAGGCTTCTGCAGTCCTGAGGCAGTGCTGCACTGCTGCCTTGCAGGTTGGTTGTCATTCTGTTCTGGCTGTTTTCTTATGTGTGTGCTGCTGTACAGCTATTGAGTGTGACACCGTGTCCTGAAATAAATTCCCACATCTGAACCTCAGGAGCATTTGGCTGTAAATGTCTCTGTACATGTGGTTCGCATAAGTGTCTACAGTGAACCCCCCCAAACACACTCGACCTGTGCAAGACAATGCAGAAGGTGAGAGGGGTAACGGGAGTGACAGAGGAGGCTGTTGCAGGGAGAGAGGGGGAGTTAGGCTTATCACTCATTCTGTTTCTTCGCCTACTGCAGCCCGTCAAAGTGAAGGTTGAATTTTAACCTCAAGACATGAATAAAACGCTCCTTGCTGGGAGCTGGTGGATTTCGCATTCTCTTTCCCAAAGTGGGAGTTGTCACCAGGTGACAAATACTGCAGTCCGTGACAGCATCTTGATAACAGATTTTTCCTTTGAAATGAGTCAGCATGGAACAGTTTATTTGTGGTGGTCCAGTTTTGCTTCCCACAGCAGATCCAACAGGATAAGCACTCCAGCTGCAGCTGCTCATTCCACAGGAGCTTGACAGCCTTCTGAACCAGGCTACAGCCAGCAGTGGGTAAAAGGCAGCACTAACACCTAACAGAGCAATTTGAAATCAATGCTGATTAACTACAGAGGTCATCCAATCAGGGAGGGGAAACGTTGCCTGCAATTTAGAGAAGAAGAATGGTCTTGAGGTTAAGGAACTTGCTGCATTCTCAGGTGATTTCAGTTTAATTATTGCCTCAGCTCTTGACTTTCTAATTAAGTCAATTAATCTCTCCAGTTCCATGAACTCCATCTCTAGAAGAGGCTAATTTCAGCTGACTCTTTTGCCTCTTTAGTTTTTCAGTTCCTTGTGGTAAGAATTAGTTTTCCCTGTTTTATTTTTATGCAGCAGCTACCTTGCTGGGATTTGGACCTCTGTAGCGTTTAAGATAAGCCATAATATGTGGCTAATTTTTAGTTGCTGGGAGAGGTTTACCCAGGTTGCCAGGGTGGAGAAAAATGGACAGCGTTCCTATAAGCCAGGTCTCATAGGTCTTAAATGCAGATATTGCTTTGGATGAAAAAGCTTGGATGTTCATGCATGGTGTACAGCATAAGCCCATCAGATGTGCAGCCCTGACCTATGCACTGAGTGGTTAAAGGTGTCCCTGCACAGTGCTGTGTTTCTGGAGGAACTAGCAATTCAGGCCTGCTCGCTAGCTGTGATTCAGCAGTGGCCCAACCAGGTTCTGCAAGGTCCTGTTTACTCAGGCACTGTAGGGTGCAGGTCTATGGAACCAGCCTGAACTGACAATCCCAAGCAATCCAAGGGCAGATGATAAAAATAATTACATGATGGTTATCAGTGCTGACTCTCTCTGAGCATTGGGCACTGAAAACTGAGGAACAAGAATTATAGCTGAAGAAATGCATACAGAAAAGTTGTGAATTTCTGAATTCTTTTGCAGACACCTGAGAACGGGGGAAAGTTGCCACACAAGAAATCCATCACCTAAAAAAAGAAAGCAAACCCAAAATCATTTCATGAGCTTCCAACTATTTTTCTTCTCATTCTCAGCCCTTGGGTAGTCCTTGTCTCCCTTGCACATACACAACTCTTAAGGTTTTGCCCATTTTCCCAGCTCTCAGTCCTCCCTGCCCCAAATATAAAGCTTTTGCTCAACTTGAATGTTCAGTGGTGGTGGGAGTGAGAATGAAATGTTGCTGCTTCTTCCTCTCTTCTCCAAGTGGAGTCTGCAGCTGGGCGTGGACTTTGACCATGAAGTAATACTCAAGGCACAACATGGAGAGTGAGAGACTATGATAAAGTCTGTCTCAGCCCACAGGAACCTAGAATCCAAAGCTGTCCATTCACATGACGAGGTTGACAAACATCACCTGCAGAATTAGCACCATGGCCCTGCTGGTTCTTAGAGTTGACTCTTCTGGCTGTATACGCACACAGTATTTTGACATTGGTGGCAAAGGCCTATTGATCTGACTGCGAGGACTGTCAGGGAGCTGGCCAGGACCAAGCTTGAAATGTTCCTTCCAATGAGTTCACGGTAGATTAGGTGAGATGACTAATAGTCCCTTCCGAGGCATACAATTTGAATGGAAGAGAGAGATAAAAAAGGAGGCAACAGAGGAGGCGTTTGGAAAGGAACAGCTGTCTGCAGCCAGCCAACTCCAAGACCATGGGGAGTTAAATGTGGACAAGGCACATCTTTTATCTTTTTGACATTAAGAAATTCCATCTGGAGCTTTCATCGCAAAGGGAAAGGCTAGAGAGAAGGGCCTGTAGTCATAGCTAGATAAATAGCCAACAAAAAACCACATATTTAAGCAGAGAATCTTAACAGATGTGGAAAAGGGGATTAAGCAGTGAAGAAGATAATATATTACAGGTTACAAATTATGAGGGAGGATTGCCAGAAGCCAAGCTGAGTGAGACTTGGCAAAAGGAATTAAAACAAATAACAAAAACTGCTGGAGCAAAGTGAATAAAAAGAGAACAAGGAGAGAAAGAGTAAATAGGGTTGCTATGCAGTTAGCAGGGGTTCCAGATGAAAGATTATTTGTGTACAGCCTCAGAATTATACTGAGTCTATGCTACTTTTTTTTTTTCTTCTGAGGATAAGTCTGCACAGTAGGGGGAGGGGTAGCAAGAAGAAGGGGAGAGAAGCAAAAATGATCATTTCTAAAGAGGGAGTATAACCAAAAGATATCCATGTGCTCAGATTTGTGAGGCAGATGATCACCATCCCAAATATGTGTCAAAAATCAGTCGTGTGACATTGCAACTCCATGAGGCAAGAATTTAATAAATTTAATCAGAGCATGGTTCTGTAGGACAGAAACACTAGCAAAGTTTGTGTTTGTATTTAGGATAGGAGGTACAGCACAACCTAGGCAGCTGTTGATCTATTATCGTAACATGGATAGACTGGAAGGCTTTCAAAAAACTCTTCAAGAAAAATCATTTGAAATTAAGGCAAAATTGAATAAAATACCTTGGTAAACTTTCACTGCACCTAAGGGCTCTATTTCCTTGCCAACAGAATTGATTTGCCAGATAAGAGAAATGGGAACGTGCATGCGTGGAAGTTATGTCTGATCTTTTCTTCCAGCCACTGGAAGCACCTACGAGGTAGACTTGTTCCATTTGGACTTCATTAATACTTTTCACGTAATATTAGAGGGACAATTATTAGTTCAATGTGAGAAGAGGGCAAATAGCACAAGTACTGTTAGATGCCCAAGAAACTGACTGAAAGGAAGATAAGGGAGATAAGAATAGCTTGTGCTGAAAGCAGATCTGTGGGGCTGGAAGTTGCTAGCATGGTCCAATCATTATACTTCTATGTTTATTTCATATTTTTTTGAATCATTGAGGCACTGAAAACAGGGAGTTGCTACTAGAATGTGCTGCCGGCACAGCCTTGGGAAGGTTTAAATGATCACATGGGGAGTATTATGTGAGGTACCACCTGCAGTGATAGAAGTGACAGGAAATATAACACTACAGAGGGCAAGGTTGGATGCTTAGTAGCCCGAAACACGTAATTGCTTATGTTTCTGTTACAAGCTGAAGACCCACATTTGGAAGCAATAGAAGAAGATAAGACTTGGATGAATTAGTTGGGTGCAAGAACCTCAGATGCGATTTGGCCTTGACAACAGCAATTATTAACCTCCTGTCTACCAATCGAGATGCTAGGAAATGCCACTTCCTTTTCCAGAAGCCTGGCAGTCACCTAGAACTGTTTCTAGGGTGGCCAAGGCAGTGAAAAGTGTATCTAACGAGCCCTTACTGGGTTCAGGCTAAGGGCATGAGGCTGTTGGGAGTGCTGAGTGCTCGCTGTCAGTATGTTGGAGCAATAGCAGAAAGGGAGAAAAACTATTTCAGCTGCAGGGCAATGTTAGCTCAAGGATAAATGGTGTATGGACTGACCGTGACGAATTTAACGTTGGAAATGAACATTCCTCTTCACATGAGCAAGGAGGTGCCACAGCGGGAAGTTTCATGGCAAGAATCCAAACTGGTTCTGAGATGGGTGCCTTTATGAGAGGGAGCCTATAAAGTGATCACTGTAGTAGCTGGGAGCCAGGCTCTGTAATCCTAGGGCTCCTTCCTGGAGTTTCTAAGGGTGACTGTGTGAATCTGGCGTGGAGTATGCTCTGTGTCATGTGAGGCAGGAGCAGATGTATCCTCTTCCCTGTTCAGATCCCAGCTGCATCCAGCCTTGCCTTCCAGTCCTGTGTTTCTCTGCTCTTGTCCTAGCAGAGAGAGAGCTGATAACACTTCCTCAACCACTCAAGAGCACTTCTTAGGCAGTCCAAGGGATTGTGGTTCTGCAATGTCAGCTCTTTCTTTAAGCTGAACACCCACATACATGAGTAAATGCAGTTTCTATAGAATTCCCCATCTTTCACTCGCAGAGTGCAAACACTGGTCTCTGACTCCAACAGACTTGAATCTCTGGAGCAAGGAAGTCTCCCTATAGATCAGAGTAAAAAATGCTCTAAAATGAGACTTGGAAGTGTTGTTTAAGGGCGGTGAGTGTATGTCACGGCAGTCTCCAATAAGAGAGGGGTACAAACCTACCTATTTTAAGATGTGTGAACAGTCTAGAAAAGCAATCATGACCATGGGACCTGTGACACCTAAAAACTGAATCGGTGGCCCAGCAAGCTTCTTTGAGCAAGAGCTTGGCCTTCTAGTTCAGCCCCCAGGACTTCTTGATCTCAGTACACTTCCCAGTGCCCTAGGATGGTGTGAGACTGCTGTTCTGCAGATCACAGACTTGTCTGTATTGGGGTGATCACCAGTAGTGCAGCAGAGCCCTGCAGAAATCCCTTGTGAAAGGACAGGGTGAGGACCATTGACTCTCTGGGAAAGTGGTAGCTTAACCCAGGCATGTAACTCTCTCCAGTAAGCAGCTCTGCAGTCTGAGAACTACAAACAAGGTTTTCTCACACTCATCTCACACTGATTTTTTGTATTATTTTTATTTCCCTTCTGTCACACAGACACTATTAATGAGCATGGGGTTTGCAGATCTCTGTACTGAAGTGATGAACTGTTGTTTTCTGGAACTGGAAAAAATGTGGTGAAAGCATCAGTCCAGAACACTGTCTTTTTTTTTTAATGTTAGTCCCTCCAGAAGTCAGCAGTTTTTCTCTCAACTTCTCCCTGTAATGCTAAACAGTTCTGAAGGATGCGTGAGGTGACTAGTAGGCAACAGTGCCAGATTTCTAAGGCAGGGGGTATGAATCAAGAGACAAAGAGGGTCCATCTGGAACAGGGAGGGATCTTGTGAAGCTGACTCAGGGCAGCTTTGGTTGTCTCACTCTTTGTCCAGCAGAGCAAAAATCCTCTCCTCAATACCCTGCCAAAACCCTGTTTTCCCCTTATGACATATCTCATCATGTCATGACATCACTGATGAAACTGCAGTGTCATTATGATGTGTGATGTCAGCCTCTGACTAGGTATACTTTAATCATTTGACTTTGACAAAGGTTCCCTGCCCCAACATCTCCCATCTCCTGAGATCAGTTACCCTGATGACTTAGGCAAGTGGAAAGCTGTTAGTGAAACAGATTACTATTTATGTGACTTTCCCAGGGCTGTCTCATTAGAAGTTCAAACCTAGCAAGAAACCCTTAAATGCATTTTCAGTGTAATATATAATGTTTCCTGCTCCAATGAGGGTTGATCCAAAGCCTCTCAAAGTCAGTGGAAAAGCTTCCATTGAGTGTAATGGACTTTGATTAAGCCTATAGTGACAGAGTTTGAATTTCAAGGGTGTGATGAAAATCTTATCCATCATATTTTTATATCTGATTCTCTCTAAAGACCTTGTTCTTGAGATGCAACTTTCAACTTGCCTGAAGTGGTCAGTTATACCAATAGAAAAACAGAACCCATGCTGATTTCATCCATGGAGTGGACAAAAAGTGGTACAAAATCTAATCTCAATTCTCTGATCCTATTGCCCTGGGATAGCTGCCTCAGCAGTAATGTGGCTGACTTTAAGGTTGCTTTACTTTTCTGAAATATGACTTTAAGGTGACACGGGAATAAACTGTGAACAGATAACTACTTTCACAAATTCCACATACAAGCCACACTTCCTGCTTCTGAAAGCTGTGTCACTACACGCTGCTCGCATACTTGGGGAAGGTGAGAAATGCACTGCTGCATTTCTCTTTACACAGATCCCCTTAATGGCTTTGTTAGGATCTTTTCTGTGGTGGTTCTTTGATTCTTGTCACATCTAGGGCTTCTTCAGATTCCTACCTCATTGCTTTCAGGGGGGAAGTAGTTTGCTAAATATTCTGGAAGTTTTGACGTCAGCAAAGTTGAATGATCTTTGTTCTCCTCTTTTTAGCCCAATACTGCTTTGCATCTTCATCATCACCTGAAACAAATGAGTATCTTGGAGAGAGTGGGAGTATCTGCAGTGATGTCTCTTTAATGTCTCTTTTGTAGGTATCTTTCAAAACCTACGTTAATGTCTCCTTGCTCATGTTTCCTTTTCTTGATCACTCTTGCAGGGCTGGAATCTGGTCACATCCCTGGTGCTGTGAACATACCTTTCCACTCATTCCTAACAGAAACTGGCCATGAGAAGAGTATTGAGGAGATCCAACAAATATTCCATGAGAAGAAAGTGGATCTCTCAAAGCCACTGACAGCCACGTGCCGCAAAGGTGTCACGGCATGTCACATTGCCTTGGCAGCCTACCTGTGTGGCAAGCGTGATGTGGCTGTTTATGATGGTTCCTGGTCAGAGTGGTTCCACCGTGCCCCGCCTCACTACAAGGTCTCTGAGTTGAAGCGCAACAAGGCCTAGAGGGAGAGTTGTTTCTTGGGCAATGAGATCTAGCAGCTGTCTCCAGCCCAGGGTACAGGGAAAGGGAGGAGGTGGAAGTAAAGAAAAAACATGCTGATTTATATTTTGCCAATTTTTCAAAGAAAGATCAGTAGATTTCTATCGATCAGGTTTCTCACAATGAATAAAATCTATTTCTAAGATGATGCATCTGTGAATATTTCTAATTCTTCTCTGTTGCCTGTGACCTGTTTGTGCTGGGGGGGAGAAGCAGCTTTGCAACATGAAGGAGAGTTGCACTCTTTCCTGGAGACTTGCAGAAATTCCAGTGGCCTGGTGAGAGCTCAGGTCTATGGTGGAGCAGAATGGATGAAAAGTCCGGGGCTAAAATAGAGCACTGGGTGCTGGACACAGGAGGGCCAAACTGTGGTTCAGTCATTGACTCAATGTAAGACCTTTTGCCAGCCCACCATCTCCCCTTCTCTAATGTGGAAAACGGGGGCACCTTCCCCTTCCTTTCTGATGGGGATCAGTGAGCTCATGTGAAGCATTTGGAGACGCTAGAAGATCCAGTTCTGCTGAAATACAGTCTTGTTGATTATCGTGACTGTGCTATGAAAGTCTGCAAGAAATCCTATGTATGTGATGAGAACTTCTGGGCACAGGTGTTTCATGAGACATGAGCCTCCTTGTTTGTTTTCTCAATCAGCCAGGATGACCCTGATCTCTGCCATGTTTCTTCTGGTTCCCATGGAGACCACAGCTCATAGATAGAGAGAGGGTTGTTCCCTAGCAACTGTCTGCTCTTCAGCCTTCGTCCCACCTCCATACCTGGACTTCAGCAGGACCTGCCTGCTTGTACAAATCACTGTGGCACCACATCAGGGATCATGTACCAGGTGAGAGAGGTAGTTATGGAAGAGGCTTTGCCTCTTGTTAAATCCTGGATCTTTTCTTTTTTTTAAAAAAAAAAAGAAAGATAAAAGATCAATGTCATTTTGACATCCATGGGGCTTCTCAGGTCTGGAAAGTCACTGAAATCTCCTCAATTTTGGAGGCCCGGCCAGATGTAGAAGGCATATGAGACCATTCTTGACCACATCTGGTGGCTGGTGAGAATGGCATACCAATGCCTGCGCCTGTCTGAGGAGGTTAATTTTCTGCCTGGGGAAGATGGCTCCCTTCGTGGCTGCATGTCAGGAAAGTCAGAGTGTTAGGCTATGCTAAACATACACTTTTGGGGTTTTTTTAATTCAGAAAGAAAGATCGAGGTTTAATCATTTTTAGCTCTTTGATCAAGATACATCTTTTCTGGTATGTCATCTGTTGTTCCTCACAAAATTGGCTTAGCAAAGGAATAAGTAGACATAGTTCTGTGGCTTCTGTTATCCAGGAGGATGGTCACATGGCCTTAAAGTCCTTCTTGGCATCAAGATGTAGGAGTCTCAGAGTGGTGCTTTGATTTTGGACCTTCAGGCTCAGAAGTAAAATGAACAATAAGTAATAACATCATATACAGTTACAAACTAGAAAGTAGGAACAATTGCAGGCTTCGGTGTCATTTTGTCCAGGAGGAACTGGGGAAATGAAAGTTATCAATGAACGGGATTTGGGAAATGAGCCCATTGCCTCATTGCACAGAAATTCTGCTTCATTGGAAGAAGTGGGAGAGGAGGAATTTCTACAACAGCAGGCTGGAAAGTTCTTTCCACTGAATATAGTAATAATAACAAACAAACATGTTTTTGTCTTAAGTAGGAGGTGGGAGTTAACATAGAGTTTATTTAGCAGCACAGATTCCTGCACTTTGATCATGTGTATATGTTTGGCTCTTCTTTAAAAAGAATGAAAAGCGATACAGGAAAGAAGCAGATCCTGCCCTGTGAGCCAGGACTGGCTTCCTCTCTTCATCTCTTGTGGCCCTGTTCTTTTTGTGGGAGAGGTTGTGTCTCTTAATACATTTGCAGAGCACACAGCAGTGGCTCCTGGAGTCTGATTGATACAGTAGCTTCAGCTTCAGGATCCCAATATTGTACCAGACATGCTGCTGCAAAGTACTGGCACAGTGTAAAACACAAGCTGCTGGTTCACATCAGCCCTGGCGAGTTAATTTTGAAGCAGTAGGCTTCCTGCCCCGTCAGCAATCGTGTCTTCATTCCAATAACTCTCCTCAAGAGCAGAAGGTAAGCATATATGTCATGTCATGAGCTAATTTGACAAATGCAAGCATATATCCCTACCTGATCCAGATCCCATTTGTACTGCTGCTAGTGCCAGCAGGCTCACAATTACCATATTCACCACTGTGGGCCATGGCTTCAGTTGTAACCTATCACAGGTTTCACCTGGGCTAAGCCTGTAGGGTCCTGCTGGGATGAGGAACACAGACCATTAGCAGGACACAACTGAGGGTTACACAGACATTCCCTCTGCAGGAAAGACATGAGCTTCCTCCTAGTGCAGGAGGCAGTTTGTAAAGACTGGGTGTTGGATCAATCACATCAGCAGGACTAGCAAAGCAAAATGGGATAGTCTGTGCCAGAATCAGGGAAGAAGCCCTGTCTCCAGCTTGTCTCCCTTCCTTTGCATAGCCAGCACCGCACAGGCATTTTATGTTTATCACCTCCTCTCCCCGTTTTTCTGCCCTTACTTTAATGCACCAAAGGAAGGAAATGTTGTAATTGTACAGCACAACAGGTCTGACATCTCTAAGTGCTTCAGAATAAAAAAAGAGATTTTCACTGAGCTTTTTTTCTGTTTTGGCTTGTGTCTGCACCACTGCCTGTGAAAACTCTTGCAACTCAGTATTCCCCAGAGGCACTGCTTGGCCATGTCCTGGGCAGGCTGTCCCATGTGAGCTGTTAATGTGAAATCCTGCAGGACTTCTGTGCTTTTTTAATCTGAGAGGATCATGGATTGTAGGACCAACCATGCAGGCAGGCAGGGACAGCTCTATCTTGATCTGGGAAGGCTTATAATACATTTTTGTGAGAATAATCTATGTCATCAAAAGATGAGCAGGGCCACCATCCCCATCCTTCCCGTCTCTAAGCCTGACACAGCTTTTGTTTCTCTTCCAAGAATGTGGTAGAGGTTCCAGCTTCCCCTACACCTGATGTGGCAGAAAGTGACTCTGTGCTGGCGAACAGTACTTTAGGTAAGCAAGATGGCAGAGAAGCTGTCCCTCCTTCAGAGCTTGCTTTGCAGTACAGCTTGTGAGGCTGTGTGTCATTCCCTCCCTCCCTTCATGCCATCCAGATTTGCATTACCTCTGTGAGAGAAAACTACTTGGACAGGGATCCCATGTGCCATGGGCTGATGGGTTAAAATCCTCCCACCCCGAGCGTGTCTTCCTCCACTGGTGGACTTGTCTCAGTACCTTCCTGCACAAATAAGCCACTGCTGTGCTGTAAACTCATCAGCAAATACCGATGAGCCACAGAGACAATAAGTACGTGTTGACGAGTGTGAGAGTGATCATGGGTTGGAGGGGTCCCTACACGTAAGAAAACACAGACCTTTGTGTGCACGTTTGACCACAGGATTTTTACTTCCACACTTCTGTGCATGTTCATCTCTCAAGAGCATTTAAGTCTCCTCAAGGAACCTTCACCTGGTTCAGCAGGAAGATTGGTATAACGCTGCTGGGTTGTTGGTATTTTCTCTTTTCTTTCCCTCTTTGAGACTTTTACTGTTTCTTTTCTTGTCTGACAATGACACAATGACATGTGTGGTTGTTTCCAGATCCATTTATGGTACCATCTGTCATCGAAACAGTATCAAATTCATTGAGCTATTATTTTTGTCTTTAAGTGGAACCTGAGAAAGGGAAAAAGGAGTGTCTTCCAGAAGGTCTATGTCCCAGCAGACAGAGAACATCCCAAAGGAGCTCCAGCAGAGCCTCCTGGAACATCTCCAAGGGCCCAGTGGCTCAGGGAACAGCAAAGAACTCCACATCTATTAAATCCCAGGCATCTCCTTCTGCAAAGGGTGTTCAGACTAAAAGACAGAGAAAACAGAGTCTCCAGGCTCAAACTCCCTCCACGCAGGGTCTTCATTCAAGAAGATTTGAAGAGGAAAGGGAAGATACTTCTGCCACCAAAGAACCAACAGCGGGGCATGAGCCAAGAGGGAGGAACAGCACTTACCGCCTGTCTGCAATATCCAGGCAGAGGGAGGCAGAGGGCACCAAATCCGCCTCATATGCCAAAGAACCAGTAGCAAGCCAGTGCCAAACACTGGGGTCTAGAGAGCCTGGATCTTCCTGGAAGACCATCAAAGCCAGCTATGAAAAAGCCAAGGAGACCTGCAGCAGATTAAGTGCCAAAGAGTCCTTAGCATCGTTAGGGCCAGATATGAAAGCAGAATGGAAGCTCCTTCTGGAGAAGAGGAACAGCTTGATCCATGCTAACAGCAAATATAAATTTGGCAGTGCAGTTGAACTTACCAGCGATGAAGAGGTATTGGAGGAAGCCATTTCATGTCTCCTTTGTGGCAGGTTGAAGGCTGTTTTTATGGTGTAGTAGGGGGCTGAGTGGGTGGGATATTAGCAGTTTCTAGAAGATGTGTAGAGGGATGGATTTGGGCTTCACACTAAGGGGCAGCGACACATTCTACAGACAGCCTTTCCCATCTCTTTTTTAATTTTGTTTTTCCACCCCCCTTTCATTTATAAGGTTCCTGTAGCCAGGCAGAGTCCCAACTCAGCAAGGCAAAACAATGTGGTACCAGGACCCGGTCCAGGGCCCAACACCATCATCACTTTCTAATTCCCTTCTTTTTTACCAGTCCCAGTTGTCCTATGCAATTACAATGCCTACAGAAGCCGCTGAGGGAGACTCAAGGACAGATCCAGGTCCCAGGGATTAGTCACAGCTCAAAGACCTATGCAGAGGTGGAAATGCCAGGAGTTTGCTGCACTTAGGGAACGTGGGCTGACAGTGGTTCCTTGTTGTTCGTGTTTTCAGGAACGGCGAGCTCTGTGCAAAGCAGCATTAATCATGGGACAGAAAAGACTCAGCGACCGTACTGAAATGCTAAACAGCTCCCTGAACTCTACATCTTTTGCTGATTGCAACCAGCTGGGCTTTAACCTGAGGTCAAATATCTTCCAAGGTGAGGGGACACACATACCTATGCCTGACCTTCAAGCTGGTTCCATCCACACTTTGCCTGGCCTCAGGGCAGCCACACTGCTTTGGGTAGAGAT